CTAGATGTCATTGAATCACATAAAACTGTTGATCAGTAAAAAAGAGAAACCGTGCCAAGTTCTACTGATGTCAAACTCAGTACTAGTTAGGGAATCAGTTGTTGAATTGTATTAGTCATACTTTTAAATTTTTTTGCTATTACACTAATAGGTATTTATATATTGAGTAAATTTTCCAGTACAGTAAATAAGATAATTATTGTAATAGATTGACAGTATCAATCTTTTGCTTAGTAGCTGCTTCATGTAATTGAGTCATGTTAATCTATAAGAAATAAACACCACAAGTAAAGTGCATACAACAAAATTAATAATAAATGTAAATCAATTTTATTACATCATGTTCTTATAATTTTCAAAGTATTTTCAACCAGTAGCAAATAATGCAAACATTATAGTTCAATGACTGAATAACTAGTTACAATATGCCGTATGGCACCTTTTTTTTGAGGGCTACAAATTTTGCAAATTTGCTTTAAAATCTTTTTTTTGCTAATTTAATTTTCACAAATTTATGCTATCTGCCATCTTGTATGGTAATAATTTGATTTTTGCAAAGTGATTTTTGTAAAATCTTCAAAAAATTGCGAACTCTGCAAAATTTACAGCCCTTTAAAAAGGAGCCCTACAGTATGTTATTAAATGAGCTGTCCAAAAAAAGGCAATAATCGCATACACTTTTGCTAATGATACAAATTATTATTCGAAAACTCAAGGTAATCCAATATTTCTAGCTGTCACTAATCCAAAAAATCTAGTAAAATCCATTAATCAAACAATGGGCCAACATAAAATTCGAAAAAACTGGAAATCAAACCTACATACTTACCAGGATTTGTTAGGTGTTTCCATGAGAAAATACAGTAATTAGTTACACAGTATTAAACTGATTTATAACTAAACTGCAGGTACTTTTACATTATACAAGTCATACTGTCCACAATAGCAGGTTTGACTGTAGATGGTTAGGAGCTTTATTAGCTCCTAATACATGAAATATAATTATTTTTTGGCCGGCAAACATGAGCGTACTTCACATATATGTAAGTGAAACGTGTTTAGTACATGTACATGTACATGTGTATGTGTTAATACCTTGTATTCTTCTCTTCTGATATTCATTAATGTCCAGTACTGACTGTATTACCAAATCACTAGTACTAGATACTAATAATAGTAACAAAAAATTTAGTTTCAGAAATGCAAAATTTAGAAACTATTATTCTGTAATTCAACTCTCTGGGTGTGTACAATCACACATAAAGCCACACCCCTCACCATTCTTTATTGTAATATTATTATCATTACATGCTCAATACACATTGTATCTACTGTACTAATGTATACATGTACTCACTGATTTCAATAAATCTTGTATCACTGATTATTGAATGATCACCTCTCTCTCCTCCAAACTCAATTATCCAGTGAGTGGTCTGTGTCTCACCCCAAACTGAGAGAGAATGCCAACGTCTGTCCGTGACACTGTCTGGTATATTAGCCTATATAATTAATAATAATCATAAAATAATATATCTGTTTAACAAAAATGATTCCTCTCTCTTCCTCCTTTCTCCTCCATTGTCAATCACACTCACAAAAATGACAACAAAGGCAAGCTTCATGAGCTGTTTTTTAAAAACTACTGATAGCATAATCTTTCAATTCTTTCATATGCACATGTCTATACTGACCAGCAGCTGTACTGTATTAAATTGATTATCATTGAGGAGTGACATACATGTACAGACAGACAGATCACAGTGGTCTCGTACCAGTAGGAATCACTCATGCTCACCGCAATTATATTATAATACTTACTAGTTCTTTCCATTCCATTTTGTTTATATTTAACAACCAACAGTCCTTGGTAATTTGGCAATTAAATCCACCCACCACTAGTAGGTATGGTCCTGAGCTACAGTTGATCAATACACTGGAATGACCATATCTCTCCTTAGGCCATTGTACTGATCCTCCAGGATTAGAAAACTTTTTACATTTCTAAAATAGTAAAATATTTAATTATCATAAACTACACCCACACACTCTGTTATGAACAAATACACACATACACAATGTACAATACAATATTAATTAATGTAATGCACTCACCACTGATGTATCAGTAAATTCAAATGTAAATACATCATTACTCTTTCTACAACTACCAATATCACCACCAAACAACACAGCAGTGGTATTAGTTATTGATGTTAAAGTGAGGTCATAAATAGGAGGTGGTCTGTCTCCAGTGACAGTTGGTGAAGTCCATTCACCTAAAAATAATAAAAATAATATGAACACACACACACACACACTGTCATATTGGACAGATGGTTGTACATGTACGTAATTTTTATTTTGAAAAATTCTTTTTAAGACAAAACATACTTTTTTCATTAAACTACCGTATAGTGAGAAATTTTGGAGGGAATTAAATTTGGCATTTCAATAGCTATTTGTCAAAATAAATTCTGCCATTTTGAGCCATTATACGCATGCTCAATGGCACGTGGCCACAAATTCGCCAAATTAAAATCTGCCAATCACCAAATTTTAGCAATTTGCCAAATTTTAGTCCCTCCAAAATTTTCCGCTATACGGTACATTAGTAAACCTAATATCATATTATACTGACCAGTTTTTAATCTGTACATATGTACTTCATTACAATCTCGATAGCCATCATCTTCCATGTACTGGGCACCAGGTTGTGGTGGGGTATTATTAGAAGATGGTGCACATCCTCCAATTATAGCAAGATAGTACTCATCATTCACTTTTATTGCTGCCATGCCACAGAAAAACTTCATGGAAGGACCATGATGAGATGTAGTAGGAGAGAGTTCCTTCCAATTGAAGGTATCAACATTAAAACTATATAATATATAAATAACTCATGAATAATAATCTCTTTGATGTTTTGAGGACTAATGAGGTATTAAAATTAAGTAAATCCTGTGGCCACAAATGTGTATACACTTGTTTCAACAAATTTTGATTAAAAATTTAAAAAGCTATTATTATAGTAATAGAGAAGTGTCTGTCGGCTCTTCTTCAACTATGCCTTCAAGAATATGACATTCCTCTTGCTCTTTCACACTCACACTGGCTCCATGATCCAGTGGTCCAGAGTTTGGCTCCATCATCAGTCAAAGCCATCCTAGGGTCATTAGCATAAGGTTTGCTCATGATAGCTTTATCCAGTCAAATCTTCAACATTCTTCTTGCCAACTAAAAAGTATTCCAAGCTGCCATTAATGCTCTATAAAATACGCAATCTGCCACAATGCCCCTGCACAGCATTCATTGTTTGCATCGGTTTAACACCTCCTAGTCAGTGTTAAACCTACATATTATACAACATTTATCAGTAATTATCATCTTTACCTGCATAAACTATTGTGATCACATATATCATGACCACAATAGCCTCCAAAAAAGAATATTTCATTTCTAATGACAGCAGCAGCATATTGAGAGACGCCAAGAGGAGGGTCACCAGTGGTAGGCTTTTGTACCCACGTACCAGTTGGTAGGTGGCACACCTCCACTACAGAACAAAATGATTTCTTCTCTTCATTATTGTGTACTGCAGGGAGATCATACTCATAGGCGGCTGCAGGATTTCACTGCAAGTAGGGCAAAGGTGTGGCTAAAAGTGGGAGTGGTCAAAATGTAGGTGTGGCCATGACCACACCCACATGTCTTGTGAAATCAAGTTGAAAAAGGCTCTGAAATTCTCAATGAAGAGTTACTCTACCATTTTTGTGTTCAAAAGGAGAAAATTCAGTACCTAAAAGACCTCTATCAATGATAGAGTATTAGTAGCTAGGTGATTTAGCTGTTGAATGAGTCCTAGCTGACTATGATGATTAATAATGAAGTGCTTTTATGATGGAGTCAGTTATTCTAGCTGCAGGTTACTGTAGATTATGTCTTCCTGAAGTGACCAAAGATATGATGGACCTATGAAGCTTACTAAGAATTAACCATGCAGTTAGCAGCTTATTCTCCACTAATTATCACTTTGTTGAGCAAAATAATATAGTTTTTGTCATTAAAATAGCTATATTCCATGTAATAACTACTAAATAATTATTAATTAACTGCTAATTATGATGATGTCATCTTCCGGTAAGAAATTCTAGTAGGGCATTGCCCTCATTGCCTGCCCTTGCAGCCGCCTATGATCATACTGTTCTCCACCCCACATGTACAGGTAGTCTCCTACCTGTACTGTTGAGTGCTGGTTCCTCACCTCTGCAGGGGCGTATCTGAGGGGGGGCCTACAGGGGCCTGGGCCCCCCCATCAATTGTTGTAGATAATGATTTCATTGTTTGTTTTATTACTTACCACCTAGTAATAAAAATTAACCACTTTGTAATCATGTACAATACATTGCACAGCAGCAAATGTACAAGAAAGAAGTAGACAGAAGCAAAACACTCATTTTATATTAATCATTGTTGAAAATGTAAGATTTTGATGCTTTTAAAATACGCAAAATGCTACTTTAGTGCACCATACGAACGCTAAAAGGGGTGTGGCCAAATTTTCGGCGCGCTTCGCGCGCCATTTATTACTAGGCCCTCTCATCATTTCCTTCCCAGCTACGCCCCTGCACCTCTGGTTGATACAGACTATAGATAACAAGAGGACACAGTAATATAGTGAATAATTATAATAAGGAGAGGATATAGTGGAGTAAAATAAGGGAGAAAATAAGAAAGAATGAGATATAAACAGAACTCAGAGAAGAAAATACAAAAGACACTTACTTTTGGAAGACATCGCCATGACCATAGATTTCCTGTACTCTAATGTCTATGCCATGACATCGCAGACAAGTGAGCCACTTTCCACTCACAATACCGTATCTACTCTAAATCAATTTAAGGAGTAAAATAAAATTGAAATGATGTCTACAAGATCAAGTATGCCATAGAGAATAATTTTTTTTTCTTATTTTCCCTTTTGTAGATAATGTAAGGTGGTTATCCTCTTGATGTATGCACTAGAGACAGTTAGTGGATAAGAGAAAAGAGAGTGTGTGTGTTCTCAGTCACTTCTCATTGTTACAATTCACAGTGTCTACTTATCTGGTAATGGGTTGATAGACCATTAGGTATGTATAATTTAAATATTTTGTATAATTAATGAAATGATAATAAATAATGATAGTACTATGTATTGTTGAATGCGTATGATAATTTGATTAAATAATTTGTATACATGCTCATATCTTATGTTTTTTATAATTAATTTTGAGCTGATCAATTGATTTAGATGAAAATTTGATTTTTTATAATTTTTTAAAATTTCATAAACTCTAAAGTTTAAGCTAATGATGTCCATGTATATGGTGTCAATTCTCCATTTCTATAACTTTTCCTGAAACATGTATATGCATGTACATGTACTTACGTGTATGTTGCGTAGAAAGTTTGAGCTGATTCCAATCAAAATTATTTTTTATGAATTTTTTAAATTCATCAAAGTTCATAAAAATTGGCAGTACAAGGTTTTTGCCAGATTTCATAAAAACCGTGCTAGCAGAGAATTTTCTTGTTATGACATTTCCTGGTACATTGTCCTTATTATTTCATTCTCCTATAGTCTTTTAGACAGCTAAGAAGGTGATTGAGATCAACCAGTCACCAGTGTACGTCTATATACTGGAAGAAACAGTTATCTTTAAAAAGAGGATGTCAGTGTGAGCTGCTTCTAAACTGATAGTCAATATGGTGTCATGAAGGACATAGACTGCCAATGGTACGTATATATAATGATTATTAGTAATTGTGTGTTTACTGATTGTATGGTGGATTTTTGGTTGGTCCAAACTTGCATTTTTGTGGAGGGAACCAATTATTATTATCACTATTATATTCTGTACTTTGTGTCTCATGTAGTGTATTATGTACAAGATGGTTGGACTAAAGTATCACAAACTGTTAATGGTTTACACTATCGAGATGAAGAAGAGAAGAATACAGCAATATTAATTATTAATAATGAGAATCTGTAAAATAACTAACAATAAAATAATTACCGTATAGCTGGTAATTATGTAGGGGTAAATTTTGTCAAAATAATTGCTAATTTTTTGATAATTGGAGGATTTTAATGAGGCTAATTTTTGCCTGAAGCCAAGATACGTATTGCTAATATACACTATTGGTAGTGGTTTGTGTGGTTGTTCTTTTCTGTGTCTATCAATCCTTTTGATCTTTAAGAGTATGCACCAGGACTGTTTGTGAAAACAACTACAGCCAGTTATATGGTTTGCAGTGAGCTTTTGTCATAATAAAAGTTCACATGCTCCAGATTGTCTTTCCATACACCACCTCCTTCCATCCTCAGTAAATGAAAGAATATGGTCCTACCTTTATGCTATGAGACTAGTGCAATGCCAGCAGTGAAGGTGATCTGAGATAAACTCTATTTAATGGAAATATCTACTGCAAAGACACGACTTTCTGATGGGCATATATAAAGGTGGGCCTGTGCCAGACCAGCTTGCAGAACTGAAAAGAAATTCGGCTATTAATCCTTACATAATTGGAATACCACATATACAATTTAATGCAAAGAAAAACATGCATTGGAACTGGTTTATTATCAACTAGCATGTATATACTACATTACATGTTGTAATAATGTGTGTATCATTGGCCTTGCCATTTAATTTAAATACCTACAGTGGTAATATGCAGGAAAAATTAGTTTTGAAATCATACATGTAAAATAATAATTATTGTTTTTCTTTGTTTTGATGAGGCCAGTGTCTCGTTCAATATGCAACTCGGTCACATCATCTCTTGGCTCAATATGAGCCCCTTAACCCAGCAATAGTTTGACAGCATCAATCTTATTCTTAGTAGCTGCTTCATGTAATTGAGTCATGTTAATCTATAAGAAATAAACACAACAAATGAAGTACATACAAAAATAATAATAAATACATGTAAAATCCAATAATTCTGGCTGTCACTAATCCAAAAAAATCTAGCAAAAATCCATTAATCTAGCAATAATCCAACACAAAATTTGGAAAAACTGGAAAACTAAATCCACATAGTTATTAGGATTTGTTATGTGTTTCCATGAGGAAATATGGTAATTCGTTACACAGTGTTAAACTGATTTATAACTAAACTGCAGGTAATTTTACATTATACAAGTCATACTAATACACTATCACTACATCATACTCTTACCCTATCAGGATTCTCCCAGTTAATACCTGCCCCATTAGAGAAGACAGACTTCATGGCGTCAATATCTCCAACTTGAGCTGCTTCATACAACTGTACCTCCTACAGTATTAACAAGTGAATGAGTGTATTATTAACAGCTATTATAATAGTAATATTAATCACTCTTTTGTCTCGTTATCACATAATCTCATTCAAACTCAAAATTCACAAAATACGCAACCAGTGACAGTAACTGACAATAAGCATTAGAACATAACAACAACAAGTAACACAAAAAAATATTAAATATACAACTAATAAACATACTGTATACTGGGATATTTTCACGTTGCAAAATTTTCGCAAATTTTACATTTGTAAGATTTCACAAAATAATATTTTGCAAACAGCTTGTAAACTCCACCACGTGGCAATAAAAATTTAGAATTTCACGATTTTTATTTTTGCGACGGAGCAAAAAAACGCTAAATCCGTGAAAATTTGGCTACTTGAAATTTCCCAGTATTCGGTACACTGTACGTAACAATTTTAGTAGCAAAATATTTTACAAATTCTGAACCATTCGTTTACATATACATGTACTTGTATAACATATGGCAGTATTTATCGACAGTGAGTATTTATTAAACACAATCAGTATTCCAATTCACAGAGCAAAATATATACAGCAGTACTGTTTTTTCATTAGGCAAATAAAGATGAAATTGATGGTTGTTTTCATCGACAAAATTACCTGCTAAATTTAATGGTAATATTATGACTATGAAGAATTTAATTGCTCAAATAAGGAATTTATTAAGCTCTTAACTGTGGCATAATACAGTATCATTATTATTATCATTATTATCATTATACATGCACTTACAGTATCTTAATTTTATCAAACAAGCGTAACAGTGTAAAAAATATTCCTATAATTGATTTCACCACATTGCAAGTACAGCTTGATTTTTATTAAGACTTATAGAGGCTCTTTCTACCTTGTAACTAACCATCATGCCACATCCTCTACATTCATCTTATATCATTCATCAATAGGGAAGGAATGGACAATGTATTATTTAAATTAACTTACACATATGGTAAGGAAGAAAGCAGTAGCTGATGACTCAAGTGTTTTTCATAAAATTTACAAACAATACAGTACTACAAACAGTATAATAACATCAGTTCAATTAACAAATAAATACATTACCTGAGTGTACTCTTAGCATAGTAGTCACTTCATAATGACCGTTTTCTTCAGCATAAACAATAATACATTACCTGAGTGTACTCTTAGTGTAGTAGCCACTTCATAATGACCGTTTTCTTCAGCATAAACAAGAGCAGTACGTCTTACCATACTATAGAAGATAAACCTTGATTAACATGATAGTACAATGATGTTATCACAATCAAACTAAAAGCCAACTTTAATTGTTGGTCTGTCTTCAATACTCCATAGTATTGAGTATGTTAGAGACAGTGGAGGTACATTTGCATATAGTACAAGTATATATTTTACTGATATAAATGATTACATGTACATGTATGTACATGCATATCTACACTGGTGCAGTATCAATAAAATGTTCTTGGTTATTATTTAGAGGGCATAAACTCAGTTACTGTACATGTAGATTGGGAAACCTTCATGAATGGGATAAAAATTTTCAAGGTACTTAAATTTTGATGCTTGCATGATGAATGCATGTAATTTTTAAATGCAATTGATGTCATGAAAGACAGGGACCATAGTGTCCTAGTGGGAGGTGTCTATTAAACAGATACTGCCCCAGTAGGTACAGCAAGTGATATAATTACATCAATTTGAGTGGGTGGATCTTGTTATTATATCCATGCACAGTATGTACTGTATAGCGGGAAGTTTTGGAGGGACTAAAATTTGACAAATTATTGCTAAATTCTGGTGATTGGCAAATTTGTGGCCACATGCCATTGAGCATGCGTATAATGGTTCAAAATGGTGGAATTTTATTTTGGCGAATGGCTATCAAACGCCAATTTCGCCAAATTTAATCCCCTCCAAAATTTCCCACTATACGATATGTCCTCCATACAAAAAAAATTTTAATGCCCACTCATCTCTTGTAAGACTATCTGACATTATACTACTATACATGAAACATAACAAAATGTAGAAAAATTTATATTTTTTAAGCATTCAAAAACTTGTGACATACAGTAAAATAATTATTCTGAAGAAAATGTTTTTCCATAAAAGTGATATAGTACAGTACATGTACATGTATACACACTGTATGCACATGCATGCAGTTACTTTGATCTACTCACTCAAAAGGATATACTGTATTTCCTCAAATAAAAGCCCATACATCTATTTCTTAAAATGACATTTGGACCTCAAAAAAATTAAAAAATAAAAGAAAACTTGAGCCAATAGAGGGATTCGAATCGGGAATCTCACACAAGTGACGTACATGTACATGTACTTCAGGAAGCTTAAGGAGGTATCTACAAGGCATCTATGTTATTAAATGGCTATAGATTTGCGTATTTGTACTTCCATTTTATTGCTAACCTGGCGTCTATTTGCACCTGGCTTTTATTTGAGGATGTAGGTACATGTATAACTATTATTGGAGTATAATTAAGGATTTTACTTACATTATCAGAGGCAGAGACATCAGCTCCTTTTTCAAGGAGCAATTAAACTGATTGTGTAATTCCTAAATAAGCTGAGAATATGAGAGGAGTCCATCCATCCTATAAAAAGAAGACAGGATAATAAAGACACTAACATCATGTTGTATACCATAGTAATCTAATATACGTGTAATAATAAGATTAATACTCATTATAATGTGTTATAAAAATGAAAATTTTTACACAGAAACACAAAAGTTTTAGTCAGCATACTAGAGGTCAGGTCATCAAATGATCAAAGCATGCATGTAGAGAAGTATGGGCCACTCACAAAAGGCTTTTATTCATGGAACTCTGTCTTTTCTCTCATTTGAGGTTTTTAGCTATGCAGTATTCACACCATATTTAAATCCTAAATAAAGCACTGAAATCAAAAATGCTAAAATAGTATAAGCTACCTTAAGGTAAAAGTAGATTAATTCACACTAGCAACATAATATTTATATAACTAAACTGCAGGTACTTTAAAATTATACAAGTCATGCTAATACACTAGCCACTACATCTTACACTTACCAAACCTACTGTAGATGCTCCCAGTTTATGTTTCCCCCATTAGAGAAGACAGACTTCATGGCATCAATATCTCCAACTTCAGCTGCCTCATACAACTGTACCTCCTACAGTATTAACAAGTGAATGAGTGTATTATAAAAAATTATGATAATAGTAATATTAATCGTTCCTATGTCTCATTATCACATAATCTCATTCAAACACCAAATTTACAGAAAATGTAACCAGTGACAATAACCAACCATAAACAACACATAAACAACAACAAGTTAATTTATTATTTACTGATATTTCAAAAACTACATGTGTACATGTATGTGTACTAGTGTTGTTGTAGTTCCTTGGTACTAGAACTAAATCAATTCTAGTACTGCCTTTTTTTCATAGTTCTAGTTCCAAGAACTAGAACTAGTACTATTTTTACAACCAATGTAAGAATCAGAACTAAACTAGAACTAGTTTATACAAGACTTGTAGTACTAGAACTAAACTGGAACTAAACTTTGCCAGAGTCTCAGTACTAGAACTAAACTGGAACTAAAAGTACATTCTCTTGTGGTACTAGAACTAGTTTGGAACTAGAATTGTAGAACAATATTAGTTGACAAAGAAGGTACTAATTTGTCAGTGAAATATTTTAGTACATAACAAAGACTGAATAACAAATAATGTATGAATTTGTTACTTAGACATAAATTATATATCAATAGACTTTTGAATACTTATTCAGTTCAAAGCTAAGCAGTGAAAGCATGACAGCAGAAGCAAAAAGAAGCAGTATTTAGAAATTATTTCCAATTAGAACTAAGCTTCTTAAACTCTATTGCCAGAACAAGTACAAGAACTATAACTTAGCTCTAGAACTAGAACAATAGCTAAAATTTATTGAAATCTAGTTTTAGAACTAGTACTAGAACTAATTTTATAAAACTATAGTTCTAGAACTAGTACTAGAACTAAACTTTATCAAACTCTAGTTCCGGAACTAGTACTAGAACTAAACTTTATCAAACTCTAGTTCCGGAACTAGTACTAGAACTAAACTTTATCAAACTCTAGTTCCGGAACTAGTACTAGAACTAAATTTTTTCAAACTCTAGTTCTAGAACTAATACTAGAACTATATAAAATTATGGTACTACAACAACACTAATGTGTACATGTAATTCATGATGGCACACTCCTCACAAAAATGAGCACAACAAAATTTTATCACATTGAAAATTATGATGTGCAAGAAAATTAATAATACATGTATAAACAATATTGGAACTGGTTTATGATTAACTAGCATGTTACATCATGTTGTAATAATGTGTGTATCATTCAATATACAGGACATCCTCTATTATCCGAACACCTGTTATCTGAACCTTCGTTTATCCGAATGCATGGCTGTCCCTAATGCGCATGCTCAGACTAGTTAATTTATTAATAACCGGTTAAAATGGCTACTGGAGCATGAGTTTAACGGAGCTTACCCAAGAGGAAGGCCATTAAAGAGAAGACTGAGATGCTTTGCGAGATAGAGAAAAGAAAGTCATGCACATTTATTCTTCAAAAAAGGACAGGATAGGTCAGTCTACTGCATTTTGCGCTGTATTTCACTTATCCGGACTATTCAGCTATCCGAACACTTCTCCAAATAATAATGCACCAAGGTGTTCGGATAATGGAGGATGTAATGTACAACTCACTGTATCCCAGGACTCAGTATAAGCACCTTCATTCAGTAACCACAGGACAGCATCAATCCTGCTTTTGTAAACTGCTGCATGTAAAGGAGTCTCATTATTCTAGAAGAAACAAACATAACAAATAAATTACATACAAAATGATACATGTAAAGAAAATCAATTTTATTACACCATTATAGTTGGCCCATTTTTTCAAGTGTTTGTAACTTGAAAAATTGAAGTCGGAATCGGCTTAAACTTTCTACACAGCATGAGGACATCAATATGCATCAGAAAATGTAATAAAAATTGGGAGGGATTTTGGAGCCATTTTTGGGAAAAACCATGGGCTATAGTACAGGGATTTTTTCAGATTTTGTCTCATTTTTTCAAATGACTATAACTTGAAAAATTGAAGTCGGAATCGGCTCAAACTTTCTACACAGCATGAGGACATCAATATGCATCAGAAAATGTAATAAAAAGTGGGAGTGAATTCAGAGCCATTTTTTGGAAAAAACCATGGGCCATAGTACAGGGATTTTTTCAGATTTTGTCTCATTTTTTTCAAATGACTATAACTTTAAAAAGTGAAGTCGGAATTCGCTCAAACTTTCTAAATAGCAGTGGGACATCAATATGCATCAGAAAATGTAATAAAAATTGGGGGGGGGGGGTGATTTCGGAGCCATTTTTGGGAAAAACCATGGGCTATAGTAAAAAGATTTTTTAGATTTTGGTCCATTTTTTCAAATGGCTGTAACTTGAAAAATTGAAGTCGGAATTGGCTCAAACTTTCTACACAGCATCGAAAATAAATTGCTTCCTCATAAAATGTCTACCAAAAATATACCCTCAGACTCATATTGATGCCTATAACTAGATACATGTAATAAGTACTGATCCTTAAACAAACACACACCACCAGAAAGAAGGGGCTATGAGTGTCATCAATAGCTATACTGTACATGTAAAATACTGTGTTTGAGGAACATGCCGTATTCCTTTTATATTTCCTCATGGAAACACCTACTCCCAATAAATGCTTGTACTTGTACAACACCTAGAGACAGCATAATCATATTGACAATATATGGGCATGCTTGCTAGATGCCTATACCACACCCACTTTGCCTACATGGTTACTGGCACACACTACAGGCAACATAGCAGTTGTAGCTGAGAAGGAAGCTCATAGAAGAAGACTCCTCGGCAATGAATTTAAATGTCTATCCTCATATAAACACCTACTTCATTTAAACCAACAAATGGGTCTCTATAAGAATAAATGCCTAGGTGCTTCCATAAGGAAATAACACAATATTAATATTATAAACTGATTTATAACTAAACTGCAGGTACTTTAAAATCATACAAGTCATACTAAATTACTAATACGCTAGCCACTACATCAAACACTTACCAAACCTGGATGCTCCCAGTTAATACCTGCCCCATTAGAGAAGACAGACTTCATGGCATCAATATCTCCAACTTCAGCTGCTTCATACAACTGTACCTCCTACAGTATTAAAAAGTGAATGAGTGTATTATAAAAAATTATTATAATAGTAATATTAATTGCTCCTATTATCACATAATCTCATTCAAACACCAAATTTACAGAAAATGTAACCCGTGACAATAATCAACCATAAACAACACATGAACAACAACAAGTAACACATCAAAAATATTAAATATACACAAATTTAAACAACTAACAAGCATACACTCTACACTGTACATAACAATTTTAATAGCAAAATATTTTACAAATTTCTGAACCATTCATTTACACATATACAAGTACTTGTACAACATATGGCAGTATTATTGACAGTGAGTATTTTATTGACCGCAATCATTATTCCAATTCACAGAGCAAAATATATACAGAGGTAATGTTTTGTCACTAGGCAAATAAAGATGAAATTGATGGTTGCTTCCATCGACAAAATTACTTGCTAATTTTAATGGTAACATTATGGAGAATTTAATTGCTCAAAACAAGAATAATTTATGAGCTTATTAACTATGGTATAATACAGTACTATTATTATTATTATTTTAATTATTATTATTAATATTGTACATGTACTTACAGCATGTTGCGTAGAAAGTTTGAACAGATTCCGATCAAAATTGGATTTTTTACAAAATTTTGTTGCTATACTATAGTACAGGGTGAATGGCCAAATTTCACCAAAATGAAAAGATGAGAATTTTCCAATTTTATAACTTTTACCAATACATATACATGTACTTATGTTGCGTAAAAAGTTTTAGCTGATTTCAATAAAAATTAAAGTTTTTACACATTTTAAAAGTTGCTCAAAAATCAGGCGAAAGTCCCTGTACTACAGTACAGGTCACGGGCCAAATTTCACCAAAACTGAGAAAGAGATAATTTTCCATTTTTATAATGGATAAACATCTCAGAGGAGGTGTTCCTCTGTTTTAAACATATTCATGGAGGCATAGTTATGACAAGTGTTCAATTTGTGGTATTTCTTCATTGCTTCCATGTACATGTACATGTAGGAGTCTCCATAGGATCTGGAAACCTCATTCATCATTAACATCAAACAGAAATTATTCATGAGTATTTTAAATAATTTTCCTGATACATATACATGTACTTATGTTGTGTAGCAAGTTTGAATTTATTCCGATCAAAATTGGATTTTTTTTACAAATTTTTACAGTTGCCAAAGTCCCTGTACTATTATAGTACAGGGTAACACAATAGTATAACACAACAGTTACTGTATACTGTATAGTGTGTATATACTTTGCTTTGGAAAATCTAAGCAGGATTAGAGATTTTGTTTTGCTCTAAGCATGCATTTTGCACATGTGGCATTGAAAGAACACCTTTTTGTTTGAAAAATATATTCGTTCCACAGGGAATGATAACAAAATTGAACTCTGACAAAAAATACCTGCTACACAGTACAACATGGACTGTATGAAAAGTGTGTGGAAAGTTGACATCAAAATGGGGACATAAATGTTTCCCAAAAATGATTATTAAGCAAACTGATAGTCTGCAAGTACATGAGAAGTACATAAAGACATTAGAGATTGTTACATTACACTGAGGATAAATCTAATTAACAGCACACACTGTCAGTACATTAGCCTATTTGGACTTACTGGATTTTCAGTGTTTCACCTAGTCTGGCTGCCTGATCAGTAGTACACTTAAACTACCAAAAGAATCACAGTCTTCACGGCCCAACAACGTTAACAGTCTGCGTCTAGCTCCGATTTCTTTGTTAATCAGGGTATGCGGGATTGGAACAAAATGGATGGAACCACAAAGACCAAGACAAAGGTCAAAAATGATAGGGCGTGTCTATTGTCTAACCACGTGACTACACGTGGGCTAGTTAGCTGACCAACTTATTTGCCAGCATTATGAATTGTAGTGTAATGTCCAGAAATAACCAGCCCAGACCACCCCACTGTACTACTGGAACACTACATTGAAGACTGCAAATAGCATCATTCATTGAAGTCTTTCATTAGTAAACAAAAACTGAAATCAAAAACCTATATATTATTATTATAAATGGTATACAATGATTAGTACACACAGTAATTAACTGAAAAGGAATAAAAAGTACATTCATGTATTCATTATTGATTATTAAAAATGTTTGTTCAAAAATTTTATTGTTAAAGACAGTCATCAAAATAATTAGGATCCTTTCCCACATGATCCATCCAGTGATACTGCAGTTGGAGCCACTGACTAGCATCCTCTCTGCCTTTCTCTAGCTCTGGGTTTCTGTTTGACATCATTTTAGTATAAGTACGTGCCAATGCTTCATCAGTATCAGATTCAGAGTCATCTTCAATACCTAAAGACACCTAATGAAAATAAACTATTATTAATTATCTTTATCAATAATAATCATTGTTAGATCTAGGAGACCAATCTACATGCAACTAAAATCAGAGACTTCAGGACACTTAGGCTACACTATGAGAGATGAAAGCTGAAAAAGGGAGGGAGGTTTTAGGAGACCTAGACCAAATATGGGAGACCAAAAGTCTCCTAAACTCCCTCTAGATCATAAAAAGCAACAGGAGAAATAAAACAGACCAAAGATCGAACAGACACAAAGACAAGAGAGAGAGAGGAAGATGGAATAATAATAATTACTATTCAATTAATAATTATTAATATTATTTTACACTTACAGTTTCATTAAAGTGTTTGTATTGTTCAGTTGAAGTGAGTCTCTCCTCATCCTCAGTATCCATTGAGGCCTGTCTTGGCCATGGACCATCTTGACTCAATAGCTGTGACTGCATGTTATGAATAGCAAATAATTCTATTAATAATAATAATAATTAATAATGAGGGACTGTGATTAGTTGTACACATACGGTATTGTTTATTATGAGCAGTTGACTCTCTGGGTTGATTTATAGTTGGGATATTCTCCAGAGGCTATTAATAATAATAATAATAATAAACATTTAGTAGTAATTTAGTACATACAGCTTGACGTCTGTTTTCCTCTACAATTGGTTTAACATGTTTCTTGAGCCACTTTAAGATACACATTTCAGCAACCTAAGAATAATCATAATAAATTTACATGTAGCATAAGGACATCAATGTAGCAGGAAATTTAGGGTGGATTCGGAGCCATTTTTCAGTAAAAAAGTATAGCCTACAGTACATGGTATTTTTTTATTGGCATATCTTTAAAATGGCTACAATTCAAAAACTTTCAATCAAAATCAGCTTAAACTTTTTACACAGAATGTACATAATGTGTGATCATCCCTAAATTAACTGGTTATTGTACATGTACATTTATATACATTGTAGATGTGTGTATTACGTGACTTACGTCAATTTGTATTGTGGTCTCCAGTTCTTGTCTTGTGACTAATTCATGAGACTCAAGTCTTGAATGAATGACCTCACAGCGATACGCCAGCATCCTAATTATTAATATCAGTTAATTAACTATCATTAATTAATAGTTATACTTTAAGACGTCTTGAAATGAAATGATGACGTCATCCTCGGGTGTGGCCTTTTTGACGGACTGAGAGACTTCACGACGAAGCTCCTCCTCCATTTCCCATAGCAACAGTGAGTCCTCCGTCAGGTTATAAGGGTAGCGTCCCTAGCAACGAGTGTTAAAGGATATACTAGTATTAATTAATGGTTACTATGACTTGACTGTCATCTCCGATATTGTAAGTGTAATAATCTTGAACTTCAAGGGATCTCAGTAACAACTTAATCCTGCTCAATTTAACATGACCCTGCAAAATAATTAATAATAATAATAATAATAAATATCATAGCAAAAAAACAATTAAAAAATCATTTAAAGAGCAAATGAAAGAGTGCAAGAAGAACAAATGTGTGTTACAGAAACAGGGAGATAAAACAATTGGAAGGAGCATGCAAGACAATGAATTACTGGTCAAACTTATTACAAATAATAACAATAATGTTAATAATAATAATAGTAATTAATACTTTAGCTTGTGGGTCAAAATGCCGCCATTTCTTTTTAAAGTCCTTGATGACAGCTAGGCTGAGATTAGTATCATCATCGTTATAAAATATTGAGAAATTCTCAAGTAACACAGCTATGGGATACAATTGTTAATAATGATTAATAATTATTAATAAACTTACCAATGAATACATTTAATAATATAAAAGGTACAATGACAATGAATGATCCAAAGTATACTACTGCTGTGAATATTGACAAAAACTTGGAATCATCACTCATACCATAAGGCTCCTTCAACTGTGGAATAATGATAATAATAATAATAACAATAATAATAAGTTATTTCATGTACATTGTATATAGAGAAAGAGCAGAGACAAAAAATAGAATAAATATTAGAGAATTAATGTACGTGAAATAACATAACCTACTTTATTTTATTTTATATTTTTACATTTTGTTTATAACAATAATAATAATAATAATAATAATAATAACAACAACAACAACAACAAAACATCAGGTCAAAGTCCCTATTCATTATTCTTTGGTCACCTTGCATCAAAATTGGAAAAATTGAGAATTTACCATTATTTTTATAATTTTTCCTAATACATTATACACATTACGGTGCATGTACTTGTGTCATGTAAAACTTTGAGCTGCATGTAATTCTGATGAAACTTGAATTTTTTTACAAATTTTTAAAAGTCACTCAAAAACTGGGCTAAATCCCTGTACTATTTCACAGGCCAGATTTTGCCAAAATTGAAAAGGTGACAATTTGCCATTTTATAATTTTTCCTGATACATGTACATGCATTTATGTCATGTAGAAAATTTGAGCTGATTCCAACCAAAATTGGATTTCTTATGAATTTTGAAAGTTACTCAAAAATCGGATCAAAGTTTCCTGTACTATAGTACAGGGTCACGAGTCAGATTTTGTCAAAATTGAAAAGGTGATAATTTGTCGTTTTTATGATTTTTTCCAAAAGATATACTTGCACTTGTGGTGTGTAGAAAGTTTGAGCTGAGTCCAATCAAAATTGAATATTTGTAATTTTTTAAAATTTAAGCAAAAATCGGCCTGTACAAATACAGTATATTGTACAAAGTACAGGGTCATGGGCAAGATTTCCCTAAAATTGAAAAGGTGAGAAGTTGCCTTTTCATGCATTATCTGAAGTATTTATACATCATTCTAATTGAGACAGATTATTATTGGAGGATATAGCAGCATATACCAGTACATGTACATGTACATTATAGTATCATACATGTACATGTACGTACATTAAAGTATGGTACATGTACATGTACATCATTATTGCTTACAGCAACGTCCCACAGTATTTGATACCAATCCTCTCCAGTCAGACACCTTGTTATAGCTGTCAAACTCTGTCCTGTACCAGCAAAACTAATCCAACTATTATTAAATAAATAAATAAATAAACACTGTATTGTGTGTTTATCATTTATTACGTGTAGCTGAGCATTTCTCCTTTCCTCAAGTCACCAAAGAGAATGATACCAACACAACAATAACATATTATTAATATCCCTAATATCTGTGTCAGTGGTATGGTACGGAGAATAGTAGTGACTACTGTTATTAAGAGGTTCAACATTGCAGACTATAAGAAATAAGAAAATAATAATAATACTGTACAAGATGATATATTGGCGAGGAATTAATATTGGCAATTGGTGGTTCTATGAAGGAATCGCCAATATAAAATCAGCCAATTTACTTCCACAGGCAAATTCGCCAAATATTACTCCCACCAATAAATCATCTTGTGCAGTAATAATAATACAGTGACTTACATATTTTAATAAAATGGCGATAAATTTCAATACAGCAATGGCGAGTGCAATGTAGGACAGCTACAAATAAATAAATAAATAAATAATGAACCAGAACTACTTACTGTCACATCTTTAATGAAACCAGTGAAGTACACAGTGACAAATATATAATAAATGATTGTAGCTCCGACCAAAAATAAGTCAAATAAATTACGCCAACTACGAAAGTATGTTGGGCCGAATGCCAGCAATTTAATAACAACCTATTAATAATTATAAAATAATAATGATTAAAAAAAATAATAATAATGATAATAAAATAATAATAATAATCACTGTTAGATCTAGAGGGAGTTTTGGAGACTTTTGATCTCTCTGCTTTTTTGGCTCTGAAGCCTGCAATGATAAATAGCTGTATCTATTAACATAATGGACATTGCAGAAACATCTTTCATATTTAGCCTACATGTATATTGTAGGTGTCCTCAGTCTTTCATTTTTATTTAAATTGGTTTTCCAAAATTACTTCTAGATCTAACAATGTACGTATACATGATAATGATACTCATACCTCAAAAATTGCATAAAAATTAAAAACAAGATTAAGACCAACCAGTGTACTAACATAGTCTGATCCATTCCACTAAAACAAAATAAAACAATAATCATAATAATATACTGTATAGCACAAAATTTTCATTAGCTGTAAATTTCGGGGATATCGCAATTCATTGAAGATTTACAAAAATCAAATCAATTTATCACCACATAATTAAGATGGCAGACAGTAGTATCATTTACAAAATTAAATCAAAAATTTCCAAAATTTATAGCCCTCAAAAATTTTGCGCAATACAGTGCGTAATGTACATGTACATGTACCATATAGCGGGATATTTAGGAGGGAATTGAATTTGGTGAATTTGGAATTAATAATCATTTTCGAAAATAAAAATCCGTCATTTTGAGCATTTATACACACGCTCAATGGCACGTGGCCACAAATTCGCCAAATTAAAATTCGCCAATCACCAAAAATTTAGCAATTCACCAAATTTTTAGTCTCTCCAAAATTTCCCGCTATACGGTACATTTACATGTACATGTATATTACATGTGCACTGCACTACATGTACATGTACTTACCGGTAGTACTAGTGTTAGTGCTGCCAGTATGGTGAATACTGAAGGTATTATCCTGTAATGACTGTGAGACACGAAATTATACAATCTCAATCTTAACATGTTCTCCCCTATTAATAAGTGGGTGTGGTCAATATCAATGAATAATTAATGAGTTCACTTGGTTCATGAGGCAGTTTGTAAGGTCTTTGTAGAGAAATCCTTTGCATTAGTTCAATCCACCTGTTCTGATCCACTGAGAGTAGGAACCTGTGTCCAGGCTTGTGCTCATTGAAATTATTGACAACTACTCCCAGGAACAACTGCAGCCCCAAGTTAACGGCCAGGAATATGTATATGTGGATATAGAAACTCATGTACTGTAGGGGAGAGAATTAATATTATTATTATTATCATTATTATTATTATTATTATTACCCAGCCTGATCTTTCATTTTTGTCTTGAAATAAATTATTCACTTCAGTCCATCCCTCTAGAGTCAATAGTTCAAACAATGTTATTAGTGTGGTCAGTACATTATTGAATGGATAATCACGAGAATAAGGGAACCTGCACAAACACAGTATACATTATAATTACAAGTGCATTATTATAAATACATGTACATTTTAGATGTACAGTGGTTCCTCTATATAATAGACACTTATGGGCAAGAAAGTGTCTCTGTTATACAGGGGTGTCCTTTATGTGGATGTTATTTTATACAGTAAGGATTGTAATTGGTACACTAAGTGCTGTCCATTAAATGGAGGTGTATGCTATAGAGAGTGTCCATTAAGAGAGACAACATGTATACTGTACATGTACATGTACATGTGTAGATACATGTACATGTATGTATCGTAAATCATTAAATAAAAGCCGGGTGCAAATAAACCCCAGGTTAGCAATAAAATGGAAGTATAAATACGCAAATTTAGCCTACAAATATAACAGATGCCTTGTAAATACTTGGTTAATCATCCTGAAATCACTTGCGTGAGGTCCCGAGTTCGATCCCTCTGTTGCCTTAAGTTTTATTTTCTTCTTTCACTTTTTCGTAGTCCAAATGTCATTTTAGGAAATAGATGCCCGGGCTTTTATTTGAGGATTTACGATACATATATATACCAGTACATGTACATGTGTACAACCTACCAGACTCTTGGTACTAGTATTGAGTTTGTTCCAGTAACATTTGGTAACTGTAGGAATTCTCTTGATCTCCTCACTGATATGTAGAACTCACCAACACAACTAGATCTAGTCTTCATTACTGGGTCATTGCAATAGGCCAATGGATTCTCATCAGTACCAGCAAACAACTATTAATAATAATAATAATAAATAATAATAATAATAATAACAGTTTAAATTATACTACAAATAATACATTACATTGTATGTGTGTATGCTGTACATGTACATACATGTACATCAAAAATGTAATAAAAATGGAGAATTCTTTCTCTCCTAGTCCCAAAGACTTCAGCCCAATTTTTGTAAACTTTAAAAATTCATATAAAATTAAATTTTACTCAGAGTCAGCTCAAACTTTCTACACAACATAAGTACATGTATAATGCATCAAAAATGTAATAAAAATGGAGAATCTCTCCTAATCAATTTTGCTGAAATTGGGTCAACAACTCTGCACTATCATAGTACAGGGACTATGGCCTGATTTTTAGCAACTTTAAAAATTCATAAAAATACAATCAGCTCAAACTCTCAAAGCACACGTACATGTACATGTACATCAGAAAATCTAATATTAACATAATACCGTAGGTTAGGATATATTCGCGACTGCAATTATTCGCGGTCATTAAAAAATTTCAATTAAAAACCATGGAAACCGAGGTGTTATTTTAATTGAAAACTGCGTGATAGTGAAGAAAAGCACCTTGCTGCAGTGTTCTTGAGCTGTTGTTCTTCTTGTGTCGCTAAGCCTTGGGCTCTTTGGAGCTGCTTTACCGGTTCTTTTCAGGACTAGTGCCTCGCCGTATTTTGGGACTCTCCACCCATTCTAGTTAGTGTTTATTGACTTGGGCGTGGTCTATTATCACCAGCACACGGACCAGCAACAATTTGCAGCAAAGAGGCTGAAAGAGCTCTGAAGTAGCGTCCATACAAGAAGTTAACAGATAGAGAAGGACTCGCTATTGGTGAATGGCTCCACTATAGCTGCTAAAGAACAGATGAATAGCTGAACACTGAACACGTGGTCTAAATTGTCATAGCAATGCTCTAACAGTTTCCATGGTTTTTAATTGAATTTTTATGACTGCGAATAATTGCAGCCGTGAATATATCCCGACCTACGGTATTAGAGGGTTACCTGTACTCCAAGACTAGCGACCATGAACATAAATCCAAACATTATGACAGCTGCTATGAGTAGGTTCTTCCAACCCTCCAGTATCTCCCTAATGACTGCCCTCAGTGACCTGAAGAGTGATACAATATGAAGAGGCCTCAGTGCTCTTATTCCCATCATTACTGATACCCAAGTGCTGAGATCTGTGTAGCTATTGAACTGTATTGTAGCATCAGAGTTCATGTACTCGGTGCCCCATACTGGCACTAGTACTAATAATAATAGACTGTCCTGCAATATAGAGAGAATACATGATTTAGTATTGTACATGTACATACATGTACATGTACATGTATGTATACACATGTACATGTACATGTGCAATGTACATGTACATCAGGGTTTCCCTAATGATTTTGGCATAGGATTTTGGCATACAGTGCTCATACAAGGTAAGGCAGCAAGTGGATTGTCAAGTTGCTTGGTATTTAGCCAAACACCAGGAGTATTTTGACAAAAGTCACAAGGAGAAAATTCTCTATTTTTGTAACTTTTTCAGATACATATACATGTTCTTACGTTGTGTATTAACTTTTTTTAGCTGAATCTGATCAAGTTTGAATTTTTAACTTGCTCAAAAATCAGGCCAAACTCACACCATTGTCAAAAATGGCTACAAGAGAATTCTCCATTTTAATGAATTTTTTCTGATACAAATACATGCCTTATGCTGTGTATCAACTTTGAGCTGATTCCAATCAAATATGAATTTTTTATGAATTATTAAAAATGCCATGTACAGCTTGTTGGCTCAACCCTGAGTGCATGTACATGTACATGTATAGTGGGCGTGTACATGTACATTACATGTATACTTACAATAAGGAATATCCAGTCCAATATGTCCCATATACTGCCTATTGCTGGATGAGGATTAATAAATAAACCTTTAGATAATACTCTACACACCAGCCATGAGAACATTACCAGTACATATATACACTCCATTGGCTATAGAAATACAAACAATATCCAATAATATTCAATAATATCCAATTATATCACAATAATATCCAACAATATCCAATAATATCCAATAATACGCATGCACATGTACTCAAGTTACACTGACCAGTATGTAATTGTAGTATTCTTTGACCATTAGGAAGTGAATTGACTCAGAGAATTGTACAGCAACAGTGGCCCACAGTACAATGAACATTACCCATGTGGAGTAAGGCATCTGACTCAACACTAACCTACAGTGTACATGTAACAATGAGCAATAGAATTATTATTAAAATAAATATATTGCATGTAACAAAAAACTAAAGAGAGTTAAATTTGGGAAATTGAATCGGCTTGTTTTGATAGCCATTCACCAAATTAAATATCAGCCATTTTGAACCATTATGCACATACCGTATATCGGGTACATTTCAATGCATGAAAAGTGGTGGAAATATTAAGTTCAATGATGGAATAATTTGGAAGCCTTTTATATTCCGAAAATATTTTACTTGCTATTATTTCCATCAACCACCTGACCTGGTAAGTCAATCGAAGCATTTGCTGACTTCTCCACTTCTGAATCAACCTTAGCAACACTTCTAACTGGCAAAGAAGGCTCTTTATGGCCTTCGAGTTAGAAGCCATGAAGCCATGGAAAGTTATGAAGCCACGTGTTCATATTAATTGCACAATACCACATATCTTCTATTTCTTTTTATCTGCATATTTTAAAATTTCATAATATTTATTTTCGCAATGGATTGCTTTTTCCGAAATTATTAATGCATTGAAATATACCCAATATACGGTACATGTATGCTCAATGCCAATGGCACATGGCCACAAATTCATCAAATTAAAACCAGCAGCCAAATAAACAAAATTTAGCAATTTGCCAAAATTTAATAATAATAATAACAATTTGTCTTACCTCATCCCAAAACTGATCCTTGACTTAAACAAATCCCAGAGACTCCTCCCCTCCAATAACTCATACTTAGGAGTACTAACAACAACAATAAACAACAAACAAACAATAAAAACAGTAAACAATAAACAACAAACAATAAACAATAACAATAAACAACAAACAATAAGGACAACATAAGCTTACATTGCTTGTGCAGTCAGTATTAAGGTAACAATAAACAATAAACAACAAACAATAAACAATAAACAATAAACAACAAACAATAAACAATAAACAATAAACAACAAACAATAAGGACAACATAAGCTTACATTGCTTGTGCAGTCAGTATTAAGGTGCATATTCTTCTCAGCTTGTGTTCTGGTGACATACAGAATAATGCCATATCAAAGAACCTGTGCCTCTCACTGTACACATCATACTCACTCCTCCTACTGATGAGAGAATAATAATAATAATAACAATAATAATAATAATAATTCATTTGTACAGGGGCTCCCCTTTTTGTCTATTTTGTGTCTTTTTATTTTTGTCGCCATTTGTTCATAATAACAACAATAATAATAATACTATAATCACACTTAGATCTTTATGTAGAGGGAATTTAAGAGACTTTTGGTCTCTCGTATTTAGCCTAGGTGTTCTTACATGTAAGTCTCTCAAAATTTACATGTACATCTAGATTTAACAATGACAATAAAGGCCTTTTCACAATGACACTTTCCTCCTTCCTCTTGGATAAGTAAGCCTAGGGAGGATGAGTAACTGGAGGAGGAATAAGTAACAGAATATGAGGAATGGGTAATGTGATAATGTAGGAACTGATGGAGTAGGGATGTGTATTAAGTGATATTAAGTTTGTTTGTGATAGTTCCCTCTTTCCTCTTGTATAGTGCGTGATTGTGTAGAGGAATAAGTAACAGAATATGAGGAATGGGTAATGTGATAACAGGAACTGAGGAGGTAAAGGGAGATACTTCATGAATCAGGTACTGCATGGAAACTGATACTACACTATCTTATATAAAGGAAAGAATACCAACCAATCATTTACTGCAGAGATCCTCTCCGTCTCTCTTGTTTCTTCTCTCTTGGTAATATGAAGATGAATACTATCATCATTCTTTCTTTGTTACTCAAAGCAGCAGTGTCTATAGACAAAATACCTGATGCTGATGACAAGTTACATATATATGCACTGCCAGTGGGCCAGGGAGACTGCACTGTAATACAGTGTCCTAAAGCTACTGGTGGTCCTAAGAAAGGAATTGTCACTATTATTGATGCTGGATCCTCTACAAAAAAAGAGGCATCAATGAGAAAGGTATTATGAAGTTTCTTGGTGGTACTAGGCTTAATTTTGCAGTCATCACTCACTCTGATTCAGACCACCACAATTATATGAGTCATGTATTAAACTTCTATAAACAGGATGTCATTGTCTATCATCCTTGTAGTTGGCAGAGTTATAATATTATTGGCAATAAGTTTGGACACCCAAAACAAGTACATTCCTGTTATAGTATTGCTAATTGTAAAAATCAAGTCCCAGAGCTGAACCTATGCCCTCATGATGATAGCATCAAACTATCCTTTGTTGCATCTGCCATTGGAGGGTGTAAGGACAATAAAGCTCACAATAAAGATTCACTAATTGCCAAGATAACTTATGCTGGTATCTCTACACTAATCACTGGTGACTTTGAAGCTAGCCCAAATGCTATAAAGGAATTTCTAAGCACAGCAAGAAGTGATCTTTATTCTGACATTTACAAACTCAGTCATCATGGTGCTTATAATGGTATAGCTAATCAGGAACAGTTTTTAGATGCTATTAAAGCAAAGTATGTCTTCTCAAGCAGTGGATTTAAGTACAAGCATCCAAGATGTGAAATATTTGAGTATTATAAGACAGCACTACCTAATGACCATCGTATAACTGAGCATTTCTATACTTGCTTCAATAAAAATAATAAATTTATGACTGAAAATACAAAGAAGGCAATATATGTGACCCATTTATACAGGCCTGTTGGTTTTCAAAAGTGGGTCAAGTCATATTATCTGATAAAGTTTAGTATTAGTCGCATTGGTAATTTTAAATTTGGTCACGTTGATGTTGATTTTACATGGATTTCTGATGAACATAACTAATAATTAATTGATCATTATTGGTAGCATTTTTATTATTTGCATTTTAAGTTTAAAAACTCAGTTAATATTTCTTTTCTTTCCATTGCAAAGAGAATTTCGTTTTTTCTTTTATCTAATAACTGGTCAATTTGGTGCAATGGGTGAAGTGGGATGCTGTGACAGTTCCTATTTATACATATGCACATCATGCAGTCTATAAACATATTGAAATGATACTAATAAAATTTAATGGACCAGCCCTGTAATGAAGAAAAAGCAATATATTAAAATATCAAGGAGACAAGGCAACTTTATGGTTATAACTTATAATACACATGTAGATTATAAAGTTGTTTGTCTTATTGCCTTTCCTTCATGTGTTTGTTATTTATATCAGCTTAGGTTTCAATTTCAATGTTACCATAATGCTATAATGGAAGCTAGTATGATGTACATTTATATTATTGTGTTTGTGCAATGCTAACTTTAAGAAAACAATTAAGAGAGACGCCAACTCACATCAATTTCTTATACAAAGACGAAAATATTATGAACTCTTTATGCACAGATCCTCTCCTTTAGCTCTCTAAAAAACTCCTATCCTTCTTCTCTACAGTGGTGATATGAAAATGAATGCTATCATCATTCTTTCTTTGTTACTCAAAGCAGCAGTGTCTATAGACCCAATACCTGATGCTGATAACCAGTTACATATATATGCACTGCCAGTGGGCCAGGGAGACTGCACTGTAATACAGTGTCCTAAAGCTAAAGGTGATCCTGTTAAAGGAGTGGTCAGTATCATTGATGCTGGTGCTAGTAACCGTAGGGGCATTGATGGACAAGGAGTCATTACTTTCTTGCTGGGACTAAACTCAACTTTGCAGTCATTACTCATTCTCACAGAGACCACTTCAGCTATATGAAGACAATATTAGACTATTATGGGACCTCACACTATAAGGAATATGGGACACTGAAGAAATTCACCGTCTATCATTCTTGTGATTGGTCCAGGTATCCTGTTAACAGTCAGTATGCTGATCCGAATAAAGTACTTGAGTGTGCTGGTATTAAGGATTGCAAGAAAAGTATAAACATATGCTCTTCTGACAAACCCGTCTCACTCTCTTTTGTTGCTTCTGCTGTTGGAGGTTGTACTGGTAATTCTAACAGTGACTCTATCATTTCCAAAATAACTTATGCTGGTTGATCCACACTAATCACTGGAGACTTTGAACTGACTACAAACGATATGACAGCGTTTCTTAAAAAAGCCGGACCTGATCTTAAGTCGCAAATCTACCGGCTCAGTCATCATGGTGCCCTCCATGCTAACCCAGAAAATTTTCTATCTTTTATTAAAGCAGAATACGTGTTCTCAAGCAGTGGATATAGGTACGGGCATCCGAGATGTGAAATATATGATTATTATAAGAATCGTTTGCCCAATATTTTACCTTCTCATCCTTACACTTGCTTTAATGTTGTTTCTGGTAAGTATGTGCCACTGAATATAAACATAAAGAAGCCAATGCTTGTGACCAGTTTATTCAGAGAGAAGTCTCCTGGCCAATGGGTCAAGTCTTATTATATAGTGGAGTTTAGTATCAGTGGCTGTGGTCATGTTGATGTGAAGTTCACTCATATTGGTGATGAATGAAAGATTATTGTAATTAATTCATTATCATAATCAAGTACAGTTTCTAGTTTTTGTATTAGTTTAGTTTTAGTATCATAATTACATGTAGCATAACTATCATCATTTTTATCATTAGGTTGTATTTTTATTGAAAAATAAATTTGCCACTTTAATTTTTTCCTGATACATATACATGCACATGTACCCATCTACTTGTGCTGCGTAGCAAGTTTGAGCTGATTCTGATCAAAATTGATTTTTTTACAAATTTTTAAAGTTACCGTATTCAAAAATTGAGCCTCGGAGAGAATTCTCCATTTTTATAATTTTCTCTGATACAAATGGTCAGTATTGCCAGGGTATTAATGCTGGTGCTAGCAACAGCAGGGGTATTGATGGAAAAGGATTGTAAACTTTCTTGTTGTAGTCATCACTCATTCTCATAAAAATCACATTGACTATTGATGATACTATACGTACTGGGAGATGGAAAGAGTGACAACAGGAGCTAGCAAAGTGAAGGGCGATACCTTGATCATGTATCAGGCACTGTACACATGTACATGTACATGTAGTTGTACTGTACACAATACTACACATACAGTACATGTACACGTACATGATGTACATGTATATAAAGGAAAGAATATCAACCAATATCACTGCAAGGTCTTCTCTTGTTTCTTAATATAAAGATGAATGCTACCATTGTTCTTTTGTTGTTACTCTAACTAGCAGTATCAATGCAACACATAAATATTGCAGATGACCAGTTACATACATGTACATGTACATTGTATACTAAACCTTAGGGACTAGGGAGTACATGCATGTACATGTACATGTACATGTACATAAATGTGCTACATCTTGAGAAGTGGATGATAACTATCTCAAAATCAAATTGATACCATTATACACTCTTACCATTATTGGGTGAAGTCTGATGCTTTGCTCTATTTACAACACAAAAATTTCGAGGGCGATAAATTTCGTGGATTTTGCAAATCTTTAAAAATTTGAAAAAAATCCCGCAAAAATCAATTTATTACATTACAAAATGGCAGACAAAAATTAAATCCACAAAATAGATTTTTAGGCAAATTCGCAAAATTTACAGCCTTAAAAACTTTTGCACTATACAGTATGTACATGCACATGTAAAAGTACATGTAGACTTCTTACTTGTTATTATTGTTGATTCGGTTGTTCTGTTTCTTGTTGTCCCCAAACAGATCAGGTAACTGGTATCTTCTCTCACTACTGGAGACATCATTAGCTTCTACTCGTCTACGCCAGAACTTTACAAACCTAACAAACAAAAACAACAACAACAACAATAATAATAATACATGTACGTGTAATAATTATATAAAGGTCGGCATTAGCTTATTGTAGTTTAATTTTGCAAATTTGTGACCATTTGCCATAGCAAATGGTCATCACTTTGCTTGCTTAGGCTCGCCCCTTCAATGTTTTACATTCGTCTAGTAATAATATCATTACTTTAATAGTGAGTCTATGGTCTGATATTTCTTCTCAATAGTGTGTGTATAACTAGCATAATCATCTTCATCAAGATTACTAACCAAGGAATACTGTCTGACCTACATAATGAAAATTAATTCGACCACACCCACTAATGAATATTAATTAACCCACACCCACTAATAAATATTAATTAAACCACACCCACTAATGAATATTAATTACTTGAGTCCTTCCATTGTTAGTCTCTCTAACAGAGGGGATGGGTGGAGTGTCGTCATGGAAACCAGGATCAGGCACAATGACATTTTGACTAGCCGACTCAAAAAACCGTCGAACATCAACCTCACTAGTAAACAACAAACAATGAATAGACAATAAGCAACAATAGTCTGTATAACAACAACAAACAATAAACAACAACAGTCTGTATACATGTACATGTACATTATAACAGAGGTGTGTGTGCACGTATTATTACTCTAAATTAGGATCAGGTAATCCTTTACCAGGAGGACGTAACCTTTTGGGTTGATTATTCAACCTAACAATAATAATAATAATAATAATAATAATGATAATGATAATAACAATAATCATAAATAATAATAATAATAATAATAAAGAGACTAATAAATAAATACAATGTAAATTACTTCTTAAAAATCCTCAAGTGAAAAGGAACAGTATTTGACTTGTCTTCTTTTCTTTTGATGTCCTACAAGCCAACCAATACATTAGATACATGCATACATGTACATGTAAATGTGAATGTTCAAATAAAAGTCCGGGCGTTTATTTCTTTCCAGGACAAAAAAATTGGGTAAAATAAAAAAAGAAAAAGTAAAACTGGGATTGGAACCCGGAACTCCATATTCAATGCACTCAGCTTAACAAGTTAGGCCATTTGGGACACTGTAAAGATTATGGTACTTATATTGAGTATAGGACACATTATGCGTATCTATACTTAGAGATTGTTAGTACCAGGCATTTATTCAAGCCCGGCCTTTATTTGAACATTTATGGTACATGTATTATTAATTAAAAACTCACTTCTAGTTTTGACTGTTTCTCTTCCTCCGAATATTCCAAATTATCCAAAATGACTGCACCAAAAAAGTTAAGAAATATCTAACACATAAATAAATAATAAATAAATAAATAATGATAAAGAAGGTTTGGTTTACATACAAGAGATGAGAAAAGGTGAATGATGATAAAGTATAGATTAGAAATGATCCACCGGAATTTGATACCACACATCAGCTCACTAGTAATATCAGTCCATGCTTCATTCATTACCAGTTGGAACGTTGAACTTAAACCCTACACCAATATAACATGTACAAACATGTAATACCAGTAATGTACATGTACATGTACTGTATACACTGTATAGGACACAGTCACTGTACAGTGCGTTACTACATGTACATGCATGTATGTACAGTGCATGCACATACAAAATGTACATGTACAGTGTATGCATGTACAAGTACATGTACACGCATATATGTACACACTATAACGTATACACAAATACATGTACTTAACTACATGTACATGTATAATTAAGAAAAACAGTACAGTGTATCATCATGTACTCTTGAGTGTACATGTACATTGTACATGTACATACATGTACATTTATATTATATTTCTACCATGCCACCTTGCGATTGACCAATCAGATTGCATTATTGGAGGTCAATTATTTTTCATATTAACCTAGCTCGTAAAAATATAAACCTATCTCGTTAAATAATTAATTGATTGGCAGTTTGGTACTCTACGCTTATGCTCTTATAGTCCATTTGTCAAGTTTGGTTGATTCTTTACTGGCCTAGCCTGTTAGATATGTTGTATGTATGTCAACTGTGGTCTTATTATCAGCAGCTGGTAGTTGTTTTTCAAGTGTCATGGTAGAAGTTGGTTATACACCTCGGTATCGGTTTCTATGGTATTTATTAACCTCGCGACTGCGTCGCTCGGTTAATAAATACCATAGAAACCTCTATCTCGGTGTATAACCTATACTTATCTGTCAATTTGTATCTCAGTCACACTTATATGTATGCTACATGTACATGTACATGTATATATTATTATTATTATTAGTTGTGCTATTATAAATAAAAAAAACATTTACATACATATGTACATGTACTGTATGTGTGTTAAGTGTTAACTAACAGCAATGAAGTTAGAGTAATGCTCTGTTCCCACGTTAGGACACTCAGTATCCTTATAAGTGAATATCTGACAATTAACAATTGATATGAAGACTATCATAGCAGCAGTCACAGCAATGAGTATCGGTATACGAGCGTTCCCTAGCAACTTATTGAAGAAGTCCTTCAAATACCGTGAGACTCTTATCAAACGAGGGAACCTCAAGGACTAAAGGAATAGAAGGAGGGAGTGACAGACTGACAGTATGAATGGACATAATACAGTAGATTGTAATACTGCAGATTGAAAATTTTCATATACATGTACATCTAAAAAGGCATGTACAAAAATTTGTGTGAATAATTTCAATGTAATTTTATTTCCGCTGTTTTGTATTTTTGTAATACACGTACATGAACATGTACATATGTATCTAAAATTCTAAATTAAGTGTGACACATGTACATGTACATGTAACTGTGGCAAAGAAGGCAACAGTTTATTGTTAAGCCTGGCATCTACAGCACCACTCTTATTAATGGCAGATTCATTGAAATTCATTCTTATACATGCATGTATGCACATGTACATGTATGTTATAAAAATAGTTTAACTATTAAAATTTCACTGTTACCCATTACAGAAAAAGTATTTTAAACAGAAAAAATTTCCCAATCAACAGTAAGTATTGAGCACATACACACATGTACATGTACATGTACACTTACTTGAAATAAAATGAGACCGTTTGAAGGATACAGTGGATCATATGTGTATCTGCTAGGAATGGAGGCCACTAATCCTCCAATGGATAGTATTATCAGACAAATGTAATATGGCCTCTTGAAGAATAGCTTATACTGTCCGTGGTAAAGATAGAATAGGAACAATATGATCACTTCAAGGAGGAATGCTAGACTGACAGTCACCTGTAAAGGAAGGAACAGTATTATAATTATAACACAATACCATATACAATGTGCATTGTACATATACAAATGTAATGTACATGTACATGTACGTGTACATGTAGTTCCAATTTTAATGGTCTAAAATTTTCTTAATTTTAATAATCACAAAAAACTACCAGTCACCATTGTAGCAGCTGCATGTACTGGTTAATTTACAAAAATTTATTCACAAATATCCAAAAATTTTAAACTACAAAATATGAGGCAATACAGTATACTGTATACAGCTTTAATCCGGCTCAGTTTTATTTAGCAATTGGCAATATTGAAGTGAAATCATCAATACTAAAAAACCATTAATGTGCATGCTTAGTAATGTACATGTACATGCATACAATGTGTACGTGTACATGTACACAAAAATCATTAAATTAAAAATCGCGAACTACAATTTTAAAGCAAAATATCAAATAAAGTGCTACACTGTAATACCTGCCATATCTGTAGTGCCAGCCTCCATTGTTCTTTATTACTTTGAGAATATTCGGCTGTTTTTAAACTGGTGACTATGGCATCAGCAAATACCAGGAAGAGAAAGAATTTCTCCATAATGATCAGCTTCTTTCCATATTTAACAATAAAATCCTTTGGACTGTTTGTATCTGTTGACTTTAAACGTAACACTGAGGAGCCACTATCTAGTGACAGGACCTGGTGATTAATTAATTGATTAATTAATTCTTTATACAACAATAGCATACCACAGAAGGTCTTGTTTTTGTTTGTTTCATGTTAATTTGTTGTTGTGATTGTGTATTACTCCTCAGGTCAGCAAATGATTCAATGATCACCACCAGAAATATACTTTGCTACAATAAAGAGAAAGACACATACATGTAAATACATGTGCATGTACATGTATACATGCATTCACAAACATGTATGTGTACATGTATTACAATTTACAAACATGCATGTACATGTGCATGTACATGTACATGTACAATGTATTTCGAAATTTTATATGATTTTAATTTTACTAAATTAGAAATTTGCAAAATTTAATCATTCATATTGTACATGTACATGCTACATGTACATGTACATGTATAATTGTACATTCAATACTACATGACGCAGCCTTAAAGCAAGTAAAAATTAGATCAAACACAAATTCCTAAGGCATAAACTTTCAAATACACAGTAATATATACTTATACATGTACAATGTACATGTACATGTATTGTACCTGTAGTATGATGACAAGGAATAATATCAATAAAGTGTAGTAAATGGCGACTATGACAAAGTCCCTAGCATCAAAAGCAGCTAACATCATGAAACTCCACAACTCAAGAGTAGAGGCTTCATACACAGCATACAGACCATCAACTAATAAGAATAACAACAACAACAATAATAATAACAACAAAGACAACAACAATAATAATAATAATACCATATAGGGGTTTTATTGTGTTGGTATAAAACTTTGCAAATTCGTCCCGATTTGCTATTAATTGGTATAAATTTTCGCAAATTGTACCTTTTGCAGTCATTTTCCTAGTGTGTCACACCTCTTTTGTAAAAATTCAATTTCACAAATTTAATGAAAACGTGAAATTAGCAAAATTAAGAGTGGATAATTATTTAGGGAGAGTGTCCAACATGCCTATAATCTGTGATACAACAGCACGTATGCTTAAATCCGTTTTTTAAAAGTATACAGAGTTAATCTCAGAAATCTTTAAATTTATGGGTGTGGTTGATAAAATGGTGCTTGAAGCATGCAGGCAACTTTAAGACTTATATCTCCAGTCTGAGGATCATGCAGTGCGAGAAACAAGCAGGAGCAGACAGGAATATGTTCTTCTAATGCTTGGCTGTTTCTTATTTTCAGCGTTCTGACTTGGAATCAATATAAGGACGCAAGAATGGCTAGTTGGTGCTAATCACCATGCTATCATTGCTATGTAAACATACGCACTGTTGTATCACAGGATATAGGTGTGTTAGACACTCTCCCTAAATAATTATCCACTCTTGGCAAAATTTATTTCCAGTGAATACATGAACACTGTATAACCCTCATATGGTAATAATAATAATTGATCATGTGTGCTTACGTATTGTTCTAAATTGTCCGTAATACACAAATGTCCTGTAGTTAATGAATATTGGCTCATTGGAGTCAGGATTAGGTGAGAATCTCTCGCAAGTTATCAGATAGTCAGAATCATTATTACACAGTTCCTGTCCCGAAGGATTATTGATATCACAATGTCTGATAGGAATAGCTGGTACACTACTGCAAGTATCAAAATAATAATAGATTAATTAAAATAGATAAAATTTAGTTAAAAATATAGATAAATAAATGTAGATTACCATATAGCGCAAAATTTTCAAGGGCTGCAAAGTTTGCAAATTTGCCTAAATCTTTTTTGCCAATTTTATTTTTGCAAATTTATGCCTTCTGCCATCTTGTACTGTAAAAATTGATTTTTGTGGAATTAATTTTCGCAAATCTTCAAAGAATTATGAAATTTGTGAAATTTACAGCCCTCAAAAAATTTTGTGATATACTGTACTTCAAAATAGATTAATGAATTAGATTAATTAATGAACTAACTTGTTGTAGACACATATGTAGTCCAGTCCTCCAATTATGTGGACTCCCAAAAGTGCAAAAATAAAAACAAAGATGAAGTAAAACAATGTCACCATACAGAGCTGCTTCCACCTACAAAGTACAACACATACAATAAATAATAATAACTGTTAATAATGAATAACTGTTAATAATCAAATAACAGTCATAATAATAGTAATTAATAACTTACTTAATGATAGTTGACACTTTTTGTAATACTGATGACTCAACATTTGATGGTATGAAGAGTTTAATTGATGAGGTGACTGAGAGGAAAGCACGTGGTAACATAGCAATGTACCAATACCAGGATATATCAATGTATATGGATCTATAGACCTATTGATAATAATAATAATAATAACAATAATAATAAATGATAATAATAATAATAATATTAATACTAATAACTTAATGTGTTAATTACCCCAATTCCAACTGAATACCACAAAGAGATGGACACTCCCACTAAAGTTAACAAACGAATCAATTCAGTGTAATTGAAGTGACTCTCATTAGTCTCCTCATCCTATTAATAGTAACAATGACATCATTTATATTGTTACTATTTATAGCCACAATGTATTTATAGTAGCAATAACATCATATCGTAACCGTTACTATTTATAGTCACTCACAATTTTAACGTGTCTGTATATAAAGTACCGTCCCCTAACAATCAAATGAAAGGTACATAATAAGGAGAGTATCATATCCAGTACTGATATAACTATGAACTGTATTCTCAGTTTATTAAAGTTATTGCTATCAGACACATCATAAAATGGTAGGGACAGTAGCAATAGGATCAGATTAGCGAGAGAGAGTACGCGGAAGCACTGTCTTGCTTTATTGTCTTCAGTCAGCCAGAGCCACCAGGTGTACATAAACACAGTCTCATACTCATCAACTTCTTTACGAGTATCACCTAGAGACATTGATTATAATTAATTATGTCAGTTCCATCCGTTCAGCAAAACTTTCAATGTTTTTGCCATGCAAAAACAAAAATTAATTAAACTCATAAAATTACAAAAAAACACATACATGTACATGTAATAGATAGACGAAATAAACCCTCACAGTTGGATTCCCCCAAATATAACAATAGTTTGGCACAAAAACATGATTAAAATTAATAAATATATATTTTTGTTCTTATTTACATGTGTACATGTACGACATGTACACATACATGTATTTAGGGCGGCAATAGAACGTACTTCTACAGTACATTATCATTTTTAACCACACACTACACTGTACTGTATCAATAAATACATGTACTACATTACATGAAGTACATAGTATGTGTAGTATCAATGAGCCTCTATAGTCTATTACCAGTATAGTAGTATTCTGATCCGCTCCCAGATACAGAGTACACTGATGGTTTAGGTTGAAATGAAACTGACCCGCGGCTCATCTTCTCATTGGAACGACGAGAAACACCAGCAGATACCTGGACACTGTCATCCAAACGAGCCGCCATTTTAAAATGGAATATTTTAATAATCAGTAATTCCTACTAACTAACCATTAATAAAAATTAATTATTATTATTGTAACTCAGTCTTTTGCACACCAAAATTATGTAGTGATTTTCCTTAAACTTGCATGATAGGTAAGCAGAAATGTGTCATGCACATGCTCTGTTGTGGTCAGAAATTAAATAGATGCACCTACTTAATACCAAGAGTACATAATATAATAATGCCTTTGATACACCCACATAGATCTACTGTAGTACAAATTTGTACTACAGTATGTGGGTGTATCAAAGGCACCGCCACGAGTTTATATAGTGTAGACAAGGGGTGTCCCGATTATGCCGGAATAATTTTGGGAATAATAGGTAGCACTTCAATTCCAGAATAATGCTAGCCTAATAGGTGGATCAGTAGCCAAACTCTAATTAAAGAGCAGCAAATTCACAATTTTTGAATTTTTTAATGCCTGAGCTAGTTGTAACTCAATTTTTGAACAAAGTTCAGGTTCTGAAATTGATATAGAAACTTATATTTTGCAGTCTCTGCTGATAGTGATACTTTAAATGGCTTCTCAGACTTACTAATTTTCATTTTTATTGTAGTTAGCTCATGATTATAAAGAATAAAGTGAGAATAATAGGGCAAAATAAAAAGAATAATAGGCAAATTTTTGAGAATTTCTGAATAGAATTATAGGTAAAAAAATTAGCATAATCGGGACACCCCTAGTGTAGACCACAGCAGGGGTAGTTAGAAGCCATCATCTAACTGCCAATTCTGGTACACCCACACACTGTAGTACAAACCAGATAAACTACAGCTGTTTCGTGTTACTGGACTTATACACTCAGATGTTAGTTGATTTAGAAGCCTTGGCTTCTAAATCAACTAACATCTGAGTGTATATCCAGTAACCCTCAACATCTATAGTTTATCTATAACATACATGTAGCTGATAATTTTGGAGGGGTAGAATTTTGGTGAATTATTAAATTTTTGATGATTGGTGGGTTTTTAATTTGGCAAATTTGTGTCCATGTGCCATTAAGCAAATGGTGAGTTTTATAATGGCAAATGAATATCAAAATACCAAGTTTCTCCCCTCCAAATTACCAGCTACAGTATGTAGCTTACACTAGCAGTACAATATAGTGTAGTATGTAGCTTACACTACTGCATATGTCATCCTGTCTGGTCTGAGTAAACAGTAGCCAAAGTGAGCTGGGCCAAACCGGGCCAGCATGGTTAGTACAGCAGGGCCAGCTCAGCCTGGTTCAGCACGGTTTGGCCCACTGCTGTAGTGTAAATGCGGCATAAGTGACTGTATTACCTTCAATGTCTCTATCAAGGTTCCTGAACTGCTCCATGCCAGATAATGATTTGATCCCTCCCCATGAGTTGTGTGAGAGGAAGTCAACAGGACTACTGACATTAGGTACACAAGGGAACCGTAAGAGGAAGTCTAACTCAACTGGATCAATCAGTTTATCAACTAGGAGTACCTATAATGCATAAAGTAATGAAATAGAATAGTACATACATTACATACTAAGTGCAATTAATTCATACATTAAGAGTCCAGCCTGTCTGGAGGTTTGTGTGTGTGTATAAGTAATGTAATACCTGAGGACTGAGATATCTGCTTGAGTTAACAATATTATTGTTTGAGGCTTAAAGTCACTCATAAATAATCAGTTTATTGCATTTGGGGGTCCACCTAAGCAACTATACTATAAACATAATTATTTGATGTAACTTAACACTACTCAACTACGTACATACAAGTGTATCTCCTTACCACACTAAAAATGGTTCAATGGCTTAATACTTAGAATCTACAAATTTAATTTGATGTGGTAAGGAGATACACTTGTATGTACGTAGTTGAGTAGTTTAAAGTTACATCAAATAATTATGTCTGTAGTATAGTTCCTTAGCTAGAACCCCAATTGTGATACCATCTACTACATTTATACCACAAGTACAACAGTAAATTTCTTTGTGTTGAAGACGATGGAAGGAAAGGGAGAGCATAAGATACTAGCTCCTGTACAAGAGAATCCTTATGAACTGGTTGATTTCAATACTAATGTAAGGAGGAATGATAGCGATCATCAATCAACAGGAGGTGTTATGGAGACTACATCAAAGCAGTCAACATGGAGCAAACCATTAGTTGTCATTGCTATATTGCTGTGTCTTGTTGTGATGCTACTGGTCGTAATACTTAGTTCATTACTGGTTCAATTGGCTGCTAGAGATGCTACCAGTACCAGTACAGCTACTACTGGAGCTATTGCTAGTAATGACTATCCTAACTTCACTCAATGGGCCAATGATATAGTATCTAGAGTTAATGGGAGCCTTCCTGACTTTAATGAATGGGCTAATGGTGTATGACAAAATACCCTTCAACTATTTCAGAACAATATCAACTTCACAGAACTTGACAAACAAATCTTACAAACTACAAGAGATTCTGCACAAAAGCTCATTAATATTGTCA